CGGCCAAAGGCGCTGCCGGCGCTCCGGTTTTATTTTAGGCTGCGGAGACTCTTGCCGGAACAGGACTTGAAACTTGGCAGCGTACGTGCTGCCCTTTCAGCGCTCCTGTCCTGAGCGGAGACTTGCTTCATCAGAGAATATTTCTGCACACACATATTAAACATACAGGATACAAGAGAGACAGTATAGAATATTTAAATCATTGATTCCATTAGTAAACACTTAGAAAAAATCAACAGTACTGTGAAGCTTTCAATTGCGACCACTGATTTTAATATATCTACTTGTTCATACAGACATTAAATGACAGCTGATAAGAACAGGCAATTCAATTTATCTCACACACATGAAACTGGTTCCAGCAATAAAAATGGAGAACAGCTCTCAGAAATTCTAAGAAAATAAATTTCCAGTAATTCAACTTGGTTGAATTAACATGAAGGAATGAAGCTCATGTCTCTGAATATTCAGGCCACAGAAGTCATAGCTAACCTTCTTGCCAAATATTCACTAGGCCAGTGCTCTCTCTGCCAGTTAACTTTATTAGCGTGTTAATAAAAGACAAACCATTTGAAAAAGTCCTTTGAACAGAAACCTATCCTTAGTCCTGAAAGCAATTCAACTTAAAGCAAAGCCTTATTTCAATATAGAAATGCTACAAAATGTGAACTTTTAAGGTAAAACCTGTATTTCTCCCGATTATTTTATGATAAAGCTTGCAGAAACATTTCTCTGGAACATGTGGATAGTCATGAATTTTTTATGTAGCAAACGAGACATGATAAAAGATGACAGCAGAGTTGGAACGCTCTGTGCATGTGCCACTCCACACTTCGAAATACATTGAAGCACAGTAAGAAGAGCACAAGCTCTTATCAAAGATTAAACAAGGCACCAGCCAAGGCTGTTGTGAAGTTTTGATCAGTGTGCCAGTCCCCGTGGGCTGCTGACTCACGGCAGGAGCCCAGGCAGTGCCTGCCCACAAGCTCGCTGCTCTTTGTTCTCCCTGCCTGAGCGGCTCATTAGTGAGAGCTGACTGGGAGCTATCTCAGGGTATCAGGTTTTTCTTTGGTCAATACCTTATCTGTAAGTTCTCCTGGCCCAAACTGATCCGTGGTGTTTTTGCCTGGATCATGTCACTGATCTGCCCCACAACACCCACACTGGCAAAAATAAAGTGGTGCAAACCAGGCAGGGGGCAAGAAAAAGCAAGGCAGGATTAGAGAACAAGCATTTTTGTAAAGTCGGTGTTGCCACAAAGAAAAATGAAGTTCCAATTAACAGTGCATAGCTAAAAGATTATCATCGGAAATTTAAGGGATGACAACTAATTAATCTCATCCTCCAGGAGAAAAAGAAACATGCTCTTACCTTGTCTCTTAAATTAACTCCTTATTTAATGTTTTAAGATGAGCATGTCAAGAGTATTTTTCACCTTATCCTGAGGTCTCACTTTGGCCAGCATTTCTGCATTTCCATGAACAATTCAGCAGGTACTTGGTCCTACTCCATGAGACTTCAGGAGGAGTCTCAGTGGCCCACTGGTTTGGCATATGCACGGATAATCTGCAATATGCCACAGCCTGGCAGTGCCTTTTTAAGGTCATTTAATTTGAAGCCCTTTTGGAGAGCATTTGGGGGCTTTGTCCTTCAACTCATGTCATAAAATTACAATAAATGTGCAAATGAAAAACAGCCCATGCCGATAATTCTGTCTTTTCACATGGAAATTTATGCAGAAATCTAGATCCAGACCATGAGATAAGGTATCAATTGAGCCAGTGCAGCAGAACTAGGGCATCTTTTCCTGGATTCAACTATCTTACATTGGTAAAAAGCTTACAATGCAGGAGACATTTTCTGCTTCAATAAATTCGAAATTTATTTTAATTACAATTTTTTTTTTCTTTTTCTATCCCAGCTACCACAATAGACATGGTAAATAAATCACATTAGACAGTAATACATGTGGTTGAGACATGTGGCAGTGTTTTGCTTTTATTTCAGGAATTACAATGCTAGAACGTCCAGGAAAACAGCTCACACAAGAACAGTCAGTGGTTGGAGATGCTGGAAGTAACACATCACATTTAACAGTCAGCTTCCTATGCCTGGAAAGAATTCTGGTGGTTTGGACATATCTGAATCATGGAAAAAAGTTACCTACATCTCATGTGCAAAATTTAAGTTACACCACAAGAACAATTATGAAATAAAAAAGAATGTTTCATTCAACAGAAAATACATCATCATCACCGAATAAGCCAAATGAGTAATTAAAATCAAAGTAAATATGACTTCAGCTTAAAGATGCTTTCCAATAATTCAAATTTCACTTCCTAAAGAGAAGTGTTTTCTGAAAACCTACACTAAAATGAAGATGATAATCCCAATGTTAAATTCATATAATGATAAAGTGTAAACCATAGGAAAATATAACTTTTGTTGTCATATTTTAGTAACTTGTAAACAAGTATTCTCCATTCATACAAATGGCAATGAGGAAATTCTTACATCAGTGTAGTCTGAAAAATAATTGAAGTGCATTCTAAGAATGGATTGTTAGTTGTTTTTAATTGCATTTATATTATATTTGCTTATATATTTGATTTATAAACCAGATGATTTTATTTTGATTTGGAGAGAATTCTCTTTCATACTCAAAACCATTCAGGACTACTGTTTTAAGAATGATTTGGGAAAAAAAAAAGAGACACAAGAGATATTAAAGGCTAAGGTTTGTCAATAACACTCTTGTTACAGACATACCACAGGGTTTTTTCCCTGGTTACTATTAGTTTTAAGTGCTCCTTTTTTCAGCTGAGACTGTTCTGTTGTTTTTATAGTCCAGAAACAACACCATCTCTATATTTTGAACACACCTCGGGGGGCAGGGAAAAGCTGACACTTTTCTTACTAGAAAAAACAACCCTGAGGCATGAAGATTCTATTCTTCTGGTCACAACATTGAAAAGCATTAAGTAAACCAATAAGACACTGGTACATTGTTTCACAGTTTCTGAATTTTGAGCTAAATAGAGAGGTTTGAGGTACTCACAAGCAAACATGAAGATTTACATACACAAATGCTTGGAAACACACACCACAGGAAAGGAGGGTTGATCTCATGCAAATAACTCCATGGAATTCCATAGGTCTTTCCAAGTCTTGCACCAGTAGAACATTGGATTGTTAGAGCCTTCTAACATATGGGCCTAGAGAATGCTGAATTACAAGAAGTTATGTTGGCTTCCCCCATCCCACCCCAACAGTTTCATGTAGTAAAAGGCTACATAATCTGTCAACACAACCTGCTATTTTCCCCCTTCGTTGTCCCAGTTTTGTACTAAAAAAATCAAGAGCTAAGTTCATATTAAATATCTTGCACCGTGATATTTTGTTTTCAGGTGTTCTCCCCTCTCCTTAGCCTTTCCCTGGTTTCAAGATGCACCTCCAAGCTCCTTATACTACAGAAAAGGCCTTTAACCAATGTAGTCACCTTAGATTAAACAGCATAACATCTTCCCCTCCATGTACTGTGTAAGGAGACTTATGCTGATTGCTGATCCTTCCAGTTCCTTGTTTTTGCTAATTTTCCAGGGGATTCCATCAGACAAGATGCAGTCATTATTACATGCTTGTATTTCTAGCCAAAAGGGACAAATTTATAGCACAATAATGCCATCTTGAGCCTATTGGGGAAGAACCAATCAACTAACCAAAAAAAACCAAACCCCAAACCCAATGGAATTAGGTCATAATCCTGCAAACATGTACTCACTCAAAACAATTCAATAGTAGTATTCTGAACTTAGTTTAATTCCAAAAGTTTTTTCTTAAGTAAAACTTTATAAAAACAAACAAATTCTCACTTTTTTTACAAGGAATTCCTTTTTCCAAAGAAGCAGACATGTAAATAACCACTTCTTAGGAACAATTTCCCTTTTCTTTTAACCCTCTTTCTTCACAGATTCCTGGAAAATATATGTTAACCCTCAACACTCCAAAACAGAGAAGTGATTTTTAGTTTTTTTTAAGATTCCTCTCCATCCCATACAGAAAGAAAACTTGAAATACATGATAAATAGACTTTCAGATATTTTTTTTAATCTGTTAAAACCAATTTACTTCACAAAAATTTTTCTTCATAAAAAATATTCAGCTTGTGTCCGTGGTATTCTTGCCCAAATTTCAAGTTGCCCTACACAGACATTAAATCCAGACTGTCACCCTGCATGTCTGCTGTTTATACAGTCACCTTTGCCTCAGAACAGCAAACCTAAGAGCTTAAAAATTCAAACCCCTTCATCAGGGAAACAATGACTTCTCCAACCATGTAGGTATTTATAAAAGCCTTCTGTTCCTTCTCCATTTTTCCATTCCCCTCTTTTTAGAGTTCTTCTATTGCTGTGGTACAAAATAAAGAGGGTCAGGTCAGACTGCCAGCTCATTGTCTCACACATAATGGTTCTAGCCAACACCCTTACTTCAGATATTTCTGTCAAGTCTCCCATCCCTTCAGTATTACATCAGACCATCTTCCAGTAATTCATTCAAACTCTCTCTCCCTCTGCCAATTTCTCCCTTTGTACTCTCTAAAAGAGTCATTTTGCTGTCTTGTGTGCTGTTTTAGACTGGAGGAAAAATGCACTGAACACACTGGAAAATAGGCTCATTCCTCATTCCTGTGGCACAGTAGCCAAGAGGAACAATTTCAGAGAGACACCAGATGAGCCCCAGTAGGGTTCTGCAACACACTGGTTTTCCAATTTTTTCAAATTCTAATCCATTAAAACTTTGTCTTTAGAGACCAAATACCGTGAATTAAAACCTGATGATGGGCTTGAATATCAAATATATCTTGTGAGTTTCTCAGAAGCAGCTGAAGTTTCTTCCAGTGGGTCTGCAGATCACAAGAGGGACCTTTTTGAGGTGGGGGTGCTATTCAGTTGCTCTGCGTGTACAATACATGTGTGGCCCAGTTGGTGCCCCAATGAATGCATGCACAGTTGAGAATACAGAACAAAATATGAAACTAAACTCATCTCTCCAACTCCATTATATTTCAAGTATCCAACTCAATTTTGAAAACAGAAGAGGCTCTTAATGAAATGTGCTCTTTAAATTGACTCTCATACCCAGATGAAGTTTTACTAGAAGTTTACATAACAAAGGGTCTGACCTACAATGAGTCCAGAAGAATGGAAGTTTGCCTAGCTTTCAAGCAGCTTTTGTCAGTTTTACTAATGGACATCAGGTAAACATAACAAACTTCAATACCAGTTCCATATCTGTATTAAGCAATCATTAAAAACGTATTTTAATGTTTCTGTTTTAAAAGGCTATAAAAAATACTTACATAATTAAATTCAATACTCAATGCTACCTTGCCCTTCCCCCAGTGGCAGTGATCACTGTCAACCCTAGAACATTGCATATCACAACATAAGCAGAGAGGATGTTAGTAAGAAGAGCCAGGCTTTGTTTTTTAACCCATTATAAAAACATAACATTCTACATGGAGTTAAAAACAATTTCATTTACAGAAAATAAAATAAAACTGTGTCCCCACAGGTAAAAAGAAATAATTTCAGTAAAGACAACAAAGTTTTTAAAATATAGTTATAAAATTTTGGCATAGGTTGACTTGCATGGTTCATGCCAAGAAACTCTATGGAGAGGATGTGTAAGATGGGTAGGAAAGAGAAGATGGGATACTTCAGTTTGAGGACTAAGCTAAATGTTCAAAGTTCTCTTTATACAGAAATACAGAAAGAGATTCTACAGAGCCTTATAATAAAGAGCAATTCCTAATAGCTGGCCACAGTGCACTGAATTCCTTTTTTTCTCTTAGCAGTTGCTTGAGAGATACATTAGGTAATAGCACTGCCATGCTGCTGGATAATACCAGAATTATTAAATTTATCAGTACATCAATTTTACTGTTAAGAAAATTGCTAATAAAGATCCTAATGATCAAGAAGAGTTTTACCAGGAGCATACAGAGTCAAGTTACAGTGATGCCATAGATACTATCTCTGTGCTTTAAAATCCTTTTAGTATTCCTAGATTCATTCCACTGGGCAAAAAATAATCAAGATAAATCAAATACATACAGAAACACACTCACTCAAATGGCACTCATTGCTTTTTGTACAATTAAGCTTTAGTGAAAATATACATCTTAAAACAAATGAAGTACAAATGTACAAAAATCCTTAAACTCAGATAAAAAATATATATAATACAATTTGCTACAGAGATATAAAACATTTAATGCTTGCTCATCCTTTCTGATGAACATAAAATGATTTAAAGTCTGGAGGACTCCTGCTCATCATCACTGCAATCAGACTTAAAGCAGACCTGCAAGAGAAGACAAACAGACAACTCAGCTGCAGAACTAACACTATTGCTCATTTGTGTGTTTTATGGGACACAGAAAGGCTGAGGGGGGTGGGTATTTTTCCAGCACATTTTATTCCATGCTAAGTAAATGCTTTGGGAAACTCAAAGGAATCCATAATCTCAAGCCCAGATCTCAAATTGTTAAAACTGAATTAAAGTTCTTTCCTTCTTCTAACTTCACAAGACAATTAACTGCAATCCTATTAGTTCAAAACCAACTGAAAACTGTCAAACCATATTCATTTTTTAGGACTTCTTCTCAATACATAGAACCATTATCTTGGAACAGTACAAATCCTGCTGATTTTTGGTTGGAAAAGACTACAGTAAGACACAAGCTTTAACTTTAGCTATGTGAGAATATTAGTACACTCAACCATCCCTTCTATTCCATTAGTCAAAGTGGGGGGAAAGTGTCTTTGAAAAGATGAACTAAAAATGACAGTACTATTATACATTCCATTAGCATTGTACCATTTTAGAAAGGTGAATTGCCAGCTGAAGACAAAAAATTTCTTCATGCAATTTTAATACACGGCCTTGCTGCGGCTACTTAACAATATACACCTAGCAATTTAAAAATTCCATTTCTGCTTGAAAGCAAAAGTAATTTCTACCCTCTTCACTACTGGAATATACTCAAGCTTCTCAAGATATTTCCTCTCTATGTGCAGGCACACTGAGCAAGCAGAATTCTATATAACATTTTCAACTGCAAACCTTTACAAATAGTCTATTTCTTATATCCTGTAGATAATTACAATACATGATGTGTTTTCTAGGTGGGAAATACTCAATTCTCTGAACAGGAAATTCTTCTACTAAGGAGTAGAAGTCTGTGTGTAAGAAAAGGCTGTGCATTATCAGCTAGGTAAAGATCTATTAGTCATTGTTTTGGTGAAAGCATTAAACTGCCCAAGATAGTTTAACATTTGTTTCATGGTGCTTCTCATTTTATTTTGGGGATATTTCGACTTATTTACTTATTTATTGGATAGATACTTATTTTTGCTTATAAACTTATTTATTTTTGCTTATAAATTTACTTATTACTAGTTTTTACACAGGGCCTCAATTATCTCTGAAGACATGTACACAGGTTTCATTAAAAATCGCAAAATATATAAGAAGCAAGATGCAAATTAACCTCTTTAGCAAAGGTCTAGAGCACAGTTTTTAACAGAACCCAGGTAAGTAGAGGAGGACAGAATGCTGAGGCAGCAAAGCCTCCTGTAGTTATAGGGATTGCCATAATTTCTGAAATGTGGTGGAGAGGCAAAGCCATAACAAACCAGATTTCATTAGTTTCACAATGCAGTGAGCAACTTGGTTTTCCTATCACAAATTTATAAAAATAAAAAAAGAATGGAAGTTAATTTAATGGAAGAAAATAAATGCCCTTACCTCTCCACTAAAAAGTCTGTGAAAGAAGCCTCTCTTTGGCTTAGGAGACTTCTCTCTGTCTGGTGACACAGTACCATCAGTTTCATATGCATTGATATCTTCAAAGCATCCCGTTTCAATCATCTTTAAAACATATGAAATATAAATGAAATATCCATAAAAGCCTCTCAAACAAGTTCCAGGTTGTTGTTGTTCCCTGGCTGGGTACTCCTAACACTTAAAAATTCATCAGCCAAACTATCCCACTGTCTCCAAAAGGAAGCACAAAGCTGGCATTGACTCACCTTGTGCACTCAACCAACTAAAGAATAGCAATGAGAGCACTCTCACACAGGTGTCAGGTACTCTCTTGCTTTTTTTGCATTCTTGCCTTTCTTATACTCATGGTGCAATAAAGAGAAGCTTTTAGAACCAGAAACAGATTTTCCTTTCAGGTATTCTGTTCATTTTAGAGCAGGCCAGCCAAAAAAAAGAAATATTTCTATGCCCTTGACTGAACTTAATTAATAAACATGACATGGAAGGAAAAAATAAGATATAACAAAGATGGGGATTTTTAAATAATCTTTGTGTGCACAGAAACAAAAGAAATAAAACCACAATTAGTGGGTACAGAAAGGACAGCAGGAAGAGTGAATGCCAAAATACAACCAACAGGCAGGCTCAGAAGGGGGGGAGTGGCTAATGGCCAAACCCAGCTGGCATTTACCAGTAAGTGGCACCAGTACACATCTGTCACAGCAGCTGGCAGCCAAAGCAGTCACACAGTCACTGGGTTGGAAGAGACCTTCAAGATCATCGAGTCCAACCCAGCCCTAACACCTCAATTAACCCTGGCACCAAGTGTCACATCCAGGCTTTTTTAAGCACATTTAGGGATGGTGACTCCACCACCTCCTGGGGCAGACCATTCCAGTAATTTATCACTCTTTCTGTAAAAAACTTTTTCCTATTATCCAACCTATATTTCCCTTGGTGCAGCTTAAAACTGTGAATATACCTTGTAGAGGGAGAGAGGGCATAAAGAGGAATAAGAAGAAATGCAGCCTGCTTTTGTTGTAAACCAGGACATTGGGTAAATTATGGAATGGTGAGAGAAAGTCTTGAGAGGCAAAAATTGGAGAGAAAGCTCAGTAACATGAATTAAAAGAAAAAATAAGCACAAATGTACAATGAAATCTGCAGTTCTGCCTTGAAGAACAGCAATTTCCATCACAAGAATTCTACAACTACTTCCAACTTTAACCCTCTCTGCAGGGTTAGTTATTAAGCTGCAGTGCATTTTTTAATGTCTAGATCATATTCTGAAGTTTAGAATTACAACATAGTATAGGAAATACTTCTCTCTCCAAGACTCACTGTTTCTCAGTGAAAGCTCTCTATGTCAAATTACACCTTTTCAAATATCCTTAACGTAATGCAAAAAAACAAAAGAAAAACAGAGGGGAATGTACTTTTTCCTCCAAATTATTCAGAAATTTCTCATCTTTTGTGTTCAAGCTTTAAATAAAATGCAATACATGGGGAGAGAAATGACATTGGGAGAACTCAAGACAATAGCAATTTCAGAAAGTCACGAATAAATTATAATGGGGACAAGGCATTGATAGCAAGAACTACAATTTGAAGTAATTGTTACTGAGTGCTCTTGCTGAAACAGTAAATAGATTTGAATTGCATGCAGAGGCAGCAGAATTCTAGTACTCTATGCAGGCTACTAGAATATTCATTCACTAGGCACACAAAACAAACTCTTAAGGGAAAGTCTGACTCAACTGATATTGAACTGTTTGTTTTGAAACCTTGAAAAAGGTGAGCCTGCAATTCTGTATTGCTGTCACTTGGATACTCTATTGATACACAGGCTATACACAAACAGCTTGCACTGCACCTATTTGCTTTTGAACACTTGGAACAGCATTCCATCCCTCTCCTGTGAACAGCAATACTGAATAACATGGGACTGAAGAACAGGGAAAGGGTGTTCTTACAGATACTAATACTGTTCTGTAAGCTGTGCCTATGATGACAAGATGCCAGACTTTGTTTATGCAAATTTACTATAAATCTCAGTTTTTAGCAAGTTTCTTATGTTTTTGGAAAAAAAATTCTTAAGCCTCTCAGCAAAGAAGTCTAAAGCAGAAATGTCTTTACATCTGCTAGAGAAAATAATTATAATTATATATTTTATTAAATATTCTATACTGCTGTACTAAAGAAATAATCTTTTATGAAATGTGCATTACCTCATTTTGCCAAGGGATTGAGACACAACCTGTCACAAATTTGGAATAGAAGTCATCATCTGTGGTATCCAGGTTCACTCCTTTCACTGTTGAGAACTGCTCAATGTCCAGGACATCTTTACAATAAACTGCACGTGGCTGCAGTACAAGACAAGATTACTTCATTAAAGTTTTGGATCTGGGGACTTTTAGTTTGGTTTTATTTTCTCTAGATGAGCAAAAGAGAGCAAAATGTCTGCAATTTTACATTTCACACTGCTGATCAGCAAATTATATTATTCTATGGAACAGAAATACAAAGATGCTCTTCATAAGTAACCTGAGCAATTCTATCCATCCTGCAAGTAAGAGAAAAGAAGTATCAAAGCCAGAAACAGTTTGTTTGGATCTCAGTGATTATCATAATTCACTCATCTTCTGTCACCTTTCTTTCAACTCTGGAATATTTTCTTCAAAGCTATTCCTCATTTCTTCTGCATCTGAGCAATGGAAGGGGACTTTTATGGGGTAAGAAATCAGCTACAAAGCTCCCTAGGGAAATAGCACTATTGTAAATTGTTTTGTGATCTCAGATGAAACACCACAAAACAATTAGTTATCAGCAATAGCCACAATGGCATTCTCCTAGCAGTGTAACTAACTTTAAAAGTTTCTCTGGCGTTCATATGACTGCTAACAGAATTATGACAGTTCTTCCCTTTTTAGATACTAATCAAATCTGTCTCACCTACTTACATCTGGCAAGAATGGAGGTTCTAACATGTTAGCTTCCAGCCTCTTGAAGTTGATGTTCTTGAAAATAGGATGTTGCTTTACAACAGCAGCTCCTCCTTCAGTGCAGCCCAGTCGTTCCCCTGGATTTTTAGCAAGTAACTGCAGATACACGGAAAAAAGCTGATCCATGACACAATCCCACAACTTAAAAAAAAATAATCTACATACAATGTCTTTCAATCAGTTTATTTTGCTACTTGGGCTCCTATTAAGTAAATTTATCATGTATCAATTGGAACTATACCTGGAAACCCAAACAACAACATTCTGGGAACAAATATATTTTCAACAGACAAAAGAACCCCTGAAAGCACATTATTTGAAGATTATGCCCAAAGTTATATGAAAATATTTTAATTGATGTCATATTAAGAAGACTTGACAGTACAGACTTTGCAGTAGGCTTTCCTTTCAGGAAAGAGACTTCTATTTTTTCCTATGGGCTTAAGTAATGCATATATCTTGCATTAAATAGTACAGAAAACTTGTGAAGCTTTCTGTATAAATTTAAGAAGAGGCAAGATAGAAAAAAAAATTGTCTTGTAGATAATGCTTTATGTGAAGAAACTGGTGTACTACTCAGCCACTTGTTCCTATGCAGTATCCTATCTGAGCATGCTGTTGCACTCCATCTACAATAACAACTGGTCCAAGCAGTACTAGACCATTTCATTCATGTGATGAATAATCAATTTATGCAGCTTTCCTTCATCTTGAGAAAAGTTCTGAATTCTTGAAGTTTGTTAACTGAACAGCTCATGAACAATCACAAACTTTCATATGAACTAAAGGAAGGTTTAGGAAATCCCATTCTGAAAATTTTTCAAGATTTTAAAATAAAGTAGTTGGTCTCTTTAAAAGGATTAGAAATTTAATTTCCAAACCTCTATGTCTCTTCACCCACCATCCTGCAGATGGATTTTGCCTCCTCTGAAAACTTGTCTGAGTATGTTTCCTGGTCTTCCTTTACTCTGCGGTCAATCTCATCGCGTTTAACTCTTTCCTTGTGCTTCCTGAACGGAGACTGCCCTTCAATCATCTCATAAATCAAACAGCCAAGGCCCCACCAATCCGGACTGAATGTATACTTCTCGTTTTTGAGCACTTCTGGAGCTGCAAAACAAAAACAAACACACACCCACATCATTTCACTTTAAATTGACTAATTGTGTGTATTGGAAAAACTCTCAGGTACTCTCTCTGGGCCCTGTGCAGACATATTTGTGTGACTCTTCTGTACTTTGAAAAAACTTTAATTTCTACAGTGAGAACTCTGTTTATATTCAAGAGAAAAACTTGATTTCTTGAATGCTTAAAACCAGTATTCTTTAGAGAATGAAAAAAAAAACCCCTGAGAATGAAGTTTTCCAAAGCATGGAAAGAAATGTAGTATCACAGTAATTTCTCTGTTTACCTGTGACCATAAATCTCTTTGAATCCCAGAAAAAAATTAGGTGCTTTGTTCAAGTTCTGCCTAAAGCTGGAATTTTCAGTTAAGTTTTCAAGTTTATCAGTAGGCTTACAATTAAGTAACATCTACAAATGCATATTATAACCTTTCTTCTTCCCATAACATGTCAAGTAACTAATCCAGGTCCAACACAGTTCTTAAATTCACAGAAGCAAATTTTCTGGTAAAATGTAACTAGCAAAGGATGCTTTACATACCCATGTAACCAACAGTCCCAACTCGTCCTCGGACAGTTTCACCTTCTGGAATCTGCACAGCTAATCCAAGATCTGAAATCCTGATATGTCCTATTCATGTTAAAATAAATTATACATAGTCAGCCAATTAATGAAGTAAAATAATGAAGTACTATCACTTTTAAAACAAAAAATTTCTATTGCACATCTCATAAAAAACCCCACTGCAAAGTATCAAAAGATTCATATAGCCCTAAGTTTATTTAACTTAACTTGAAAAGAGTGTTTTATTCAGCCCCTCCTTAAAAATGTGCAGAAAGAGAGGCACAGATATAACTGATTTTCTGAAGGTCAGACAAAAATAATTTGCTCTTAAGCAAAGCTCTTTGGCATAGGCTGCTGTTCTTGGACAAAGAGAAATGCTCATTTCAGATTCTGCATCTATGCATCAGACACTTGTGGTTTTCCATTCTGCATACCCACCACAAGCCCTTAGCTTTCTGACTTCTTAATAAAACTTCAAAATTAATTTATTCCAAATGTGAGAAAACTGTAGCCTGTACTGAGAGAGCTCTTTTTCATGTAATGAAGTACCCCAATAATGCCAAACATGAGTACTTGGAATTGCTATCCCCACTCCCACCCCAAACCAAGAGCAGCCCAGTCCATAATCCACTCAGAATTATTTATATAGTAACATGTCAGTTCAATTCTGGGATTTCCTCTTCTCATGAATCACTCCTAAGTGGAAAACAGCTTTTATTGCACTTTATCAGCCAAATGTCTCAAGTTGACCTTCCCCTATCACACAGGGCCTGTAGAGCTGTACCTCTGACAGAAATCATCTGGCAATGGACTGGTTTGTCATGCAGTGCTCAGTGGGGAACCAGTCCAAGCAGGGCAATGGGAATAAATCCACCCCACTCTCCCTCACATTCCCATAGATATTCCCATTCTTTGTTGGATAGACTCCTGAACTGTTTCAAGCACATTCAAGCCATTTCAAGGCATGAACTGTATTGACATTTTAATGTAAAAACACATAAGGTACTTTCTCAATAAAAATGTAAAAGTCTAGACAGAAGAAAGGACAATTACATTTCCAATTCAATTCTAAAAGAATTTTGTAGAAAGATTTGTGGCAAAAACGAAAAAAAAGAGCAAAACTCACACTTATTTCTAATACTGGTTATAAGGACAGGGATACTGTTGTTTACAGAAACACCACAGACTCACAGAATGATTCAGGCTGGAAGGGATTTCAGAAGGTCTCTAGTGAAACCTTCTGAGCAAGCAGGCAGCCCAAAGTGTCCCAGGCTTTTAAAATACTTATTAGAAAGCCTCCAAGAGTGGACACTGCATCACCTCTCTGGGTAGCCCATTCCAATGCCCCATTAACCTTTGTGCATATATGCTATGGCATTCAAAAAGCTCTACAGCATCAATATTAGTTAACAGCACATTAACTTCTTATGTACATGTGTTAGATAATCAGGGGATGGAGAGAGAGGGAGGAGAAAGTCAAGTTCCATTTTATATACTGGCTGGAAATAAGGTAATGCTCTGGAGCAGCAAATGCTATTTTAAATACATTCAGATGCTCCTGACATCTGATGAACTCCTTTTCAAGTGCAAGATCTGAGCTCCTGAAGAGATTTTCTAATTAGTCTCCTGTGCTCTCTGGAACTAGATCAAAATATCCCTGGCAGAGAGGAAGCATTCTAGTGCAGTCCTGCAAGGCCACATTTTTCCTCAAAGAACCCTTCAGCTTTTCTAAGACATTGCTGGAGAGAAAAATTAAAGAATGCATTTGATGTCTAGCAAAGCTTTAGCTCTTGGAAAGTGACTTCTCTCAAGCATCATCTTTTTTTGAAAATTATCAGTCAGAACATGCTGACTTTAAAAAAAATAGTGTGCTAATGACTTCAAAAACAGTTTTTCCTCAACTAAAATGCTCAGCAGTTACAAGAACAAACTTGTAATATTAATCCACAGCTTAGAAGAGAATTCCTGCACATGTTCCACAGTCAATTCAAAAGATTCTGGTAATGACTTGCATACAAAGACATTAAAGAGAATTAATTTGGCTTTTGACAAACAAAGGACTACAAACAGTTCATTTTGTTTGTACTTCCTTGATTCCTTCCAGCCACATATGCATCAGAGACCATCAGACCTCTTTTAGTCAAAATTTTAAAACAGAAATACTTCAGATTTCTTCCCACTGTCTAAACAATCTGGTTTACTAAGTAAAAGTCTGCCCCCCTCATCTAACAAATCATGTTTCCATAACTGAAGAAAAGACAAACAAAACAAATCCATGTAAAAATTTTAGTGATATTAAATCAAGATGAGGGGAAAATGAGGAGCAAAAGGGAAAAACTAGCCATTTGAAGGTAGAAAATTGACCCTTCATAAATATTAATGGTTGACTCCCAAAGTTTTCCCCCCTTTTCTAAAAAGCAAGGCAGCATTGTCTTTGCTAAATTAAGATTCACCAATGAGGTCTCTTTTATTATGAAGAAATCCCTTACATTTCTGGCTTGGTATTAGAGGTATAATTCCTGATTTCAAATTAATTTTAATTTTTACTTACCACAGTCATCAAGAAGTATATTCTCAGGCTTCAAGTCTCTACAAATTAAACAACAAAAATGTGAATTAAGCAAAGACAAAACTATAAGCCCTGAAATGCAACAGATTCAACAGAAAACAACTTGGTTCTGACTGAAGCAATTTATCCAGTTCCACCTATAAAAAAAAAAAAATCTGTGAAGCTGATGACCTATAATACAAATAGTTTAACCAGAGAACAAGATCCACTGTCCCTGAACTCTTTAGTCCTCTTTAATTGATATTACCATAACTATTTAATTTATATTAACAAAGTCCTGATATAAAGAACCAGTATTTACACCCAAATTTGTGTTCATTAGTGAAAAGCATTTCTCCTGAGGAATATCAGCTTGACAGTGGTAAAATACAAGTGTTTGCTGCAGTTTAATGCTGGCCCCTTGCTATATTTCACCTCAGGGCATCAGAATATCAACAAAGAGTAATAATCCCAAGACTAAGCACAGGCTTATATCATTCATTCAAACTCAATTTCTTTAATTTGGCCATGCAACTTCTAAAGCTTCCTAGACACTGCACCTAGTTAAGATTCTTTGCAATAACTTTCTAGAAGTTTCCTATTACTTTTCTGTAAACATCAAAGTTTCCCAAACAACATTTTTTAACTATTAAATGATAGCAAGACTCAGGAAATACTAAAAGGGCAATAAATTCAGCGTTGCAATTTTGCATCTTGTGCATTTTTACTTTGAGAACAAAAGAAAATATTGAATGGAATGTTTGAATTTTTCCCTGCTCAAGGAAAATTTGGGGAGTCATTCAAGCTGAATCAGAAGTTTTGCTAGGATTTATCCCTAGCAGATTCTCCTGAGGATACACATACACATATATATGCATGAAAATTTGTATAAAATGTATAATGTACATTATTATTTATAATAGTGCACTATAGATTGTTATAATATATATTGTTAATTTTTAATGGTTATTTTTTATATGTGTGTATTTGTGGTATGCATCAGTAAGCATGTGGACTGAGATGGTCTCTTAGATTTCTTCCACCATAAATATAAGCCAGAAATAGACACATAAAACCCAGTAGTTGGCTAAAGAATCAGCTATTGAAATAGATTCTTAAAAACAATATGTATCTATACATATATACATACAGTTGTGACAAGAAGAAGAATCTGAATAACATAAAAGAAAAAAATTTAGGAAGAATGACTCTAGAGTTGCCATTCTAAATGAGAGAAAACTGTTCACCAAGAAATCTAAGTAGGGTTTTTCCCCCCACATATTGGTTAATTGATGTTCTGTAATATGTGTATTCATGGTAAAGTTTCATTATCTTATGAGATTAACTATATACAAAAGTCATAAAGATGCTCTGCTCCTCATGGTTTTAAGTCTCAACAATCCTTATAATGTTAATAAATGGTATTAAATACAAGATTACAATAGCAGAGAAACCAGGACAGATCAGAGGTTAAAAAACTGAAGAACACTGGGATTTGACATAAGTGTTTGAAGGTTGCCTTGTGGGGAAACAGCTAACAAAGCTAACAAGTTGCTGGGGCTGTGGTTTGGGCTCTTTTGTTTTGTTTAGGCTTTTTTGTTATTTTGTATTTTAAACAATCAGTTTTGTTTTCATCTGAAGAATGTAAAATGACCTACTTGTAGCTGATGAAATGTCTCACCCCTGCTTCCCTCCTATGTGTATGCCAAAACACAGTGTCTAATACTGCAAGACTGGCCAAATTCTCTAGGGAACCACATCCAAGCACCAGCATAAACCTGATTCACTCTGCTTCTGTCACTTGCCACTCTGTGTGTCTGTGTGTGTGACACTTGGTGTTACACAGCACAAGTGCAAAGAAACCATTCTTGGTCCCCCACTAAGTTTGTTTGCTTGTTCTGTAACATTAATGCATACCAGGGGTTAAATGATGTATGTACAGAGACAAAACAGAGCATTAAAATCATACAATCTCAATTGCAGTGCATAAAGCTTCTGATAGTTTCATTAATTCAAAGGCAATAATAATTTTATTGGAGGAATCTGAAACTAAAACAGAAGAAGGAGCTTTTCACATGGGCTATGACTATCCTGTTACCTTTGGGAGTGTAAGATGCAATGCAGCCAGGGACTTCTAGAGCCCTCTGTGAACTACTTTAGAGTGGGCAGGAACAAAATGCCATACTCCTAAAACTTATGCATTAAAATTATAAATTAATTTGCTTTGTAAATCATAGTTTAATTTCAGTTTATACTGTTTTAAAATATTTCAAGCATCAAGACCTAAATCAACAGCAAGAAGACATAAGACATATATTCCTAGGGATATGCCATGAAAAGGACAACTAAGTTTTTTTTTTATTCTTTTCCTACAAAATTAAAACACAAACTTGTTTTAGTAGGAAACAATTAATATGTTTAACACTGAAGAGATGTGAAAAAGTACAAGTAAGTGTAGATGACACTCACCTGTAAACAATTCTCTCCCTTTGCAAATCCTCCAGCCCACAGCACAGTTCTGCAGCATAGAAAATAGCCCTTTCTTCATCAAAGCCAGGATTTCCCATGTTATATATGTGAAACTTCAGATCCCCTCCATTCATTATGGTTAACACTAAACATAGGGCATCTTTTGTCTCATATGTATAGGATAAACTAACCTAAAAATGGGCAGAGTGAGAGCACAACCATTAATCATTCATAAACCCCAAAACAATTCACAGATCTTTCTTCCAATACAATCAACTTTGAATCCTTTTTTAAGGCAAAAAGAACAAAACATACAAGTGGAAAATCATTTCTGCAGAGTACTGGTAGACACAAAGGAATTCAGACTAACTTGCCTGTGTACACAAACCAGACACACAACACAAAAGCTGAGTGGCAGATCTGTTCAGGTACCCAGAAAATACATTTATTGATGATGCCCCTCAGCTGCACGGTACCTGTATTACTCTTTGTCCAGACAGCATGAGCATATTCCTGATTTTATTCATATCTCATGAATTATGCACTGCCAAACCATCTTCCTGAACTACGAGACTCAAAACTGCCCTAGAGGAACTCAAATTATTTTCAATCAAATGTGTAGTTTCTATTCCTACCCCTGCCTCCCCCCAGGTAACTGCATATTTCCCTCATTTAGAACTTGCCAACAGCAGAGACTCAGTACAACTCCTTACAATCTTTCTTCTCACTGTACTTGAAATGTGGTGCTGATAGGCAAGGACAAAGCATCACATTTTTTTCAGGTTTTAGGTGAAAGATTTTAAAGTGCATTTAAAGTTTTAAAGTAAACTTGTGAAATAAAACAAAACCCTCCCCACATAACACAACGTAATATACCACAAAATTGAACTGCTTAAGTTACAAAGTTAAATTATGCTATGCAGATGATCATCTGGTAGGATCTTCAAAATTACCTACCTCGTACTAAGAGCAATGGAATTCAAACATAGCTTACATTAGGTAAACTAGCTAGGTAAAAAAAAAAAAGTAGGGTGTGGTTTTTTTTAACTCAAAAAATTTATTTTAAATGTGTACAAGTAAATAATTGTTTTAATTCAGTAACAGAACCAAACTCTTCCTTCAGAAGTTTAAATACAATACTAAATGATAAAACTAAATAAATACAGAAATCAGCTACTCAAATCAGCTACTCAAGGCATAGCTTCCCATTTGGTGGTTTAAACTGCTGTGTCCAGCTATTTATGACTGTACTTGTGAGAGAGGCATGACAAGTTATCTGCCCACTTCAAAACCAGCATTACTGCAAATGCTAAACCTACATCTTCTCTGTTGCATAAAAACCACCATTGGATAGCAAGAAGAAAATAACTCATCCTCAATTTTATAAAGCAATTTCAAATTCAACTTGGATCAATTATTGATTTACAGTGTTTACATATGCTGAAAAAAATGTTACTCAAAAATAGAAGTTTCACTGTTTTAGTAATTTATGGATCAAGCCAGGTACTCCCTGGATTCAGTTTCAGTCAATTTAAGCCCAGAAGCCTTGTGCAAAAATAACATTAGCATATTTATACAAAACCGTAATTTACAATAGTTTAAAATATTAATGTGTCTGGCCAGCAAATTCTTAATTTTTCTTATAGCTGGCAGTATTCTACAGTGGTTTTTCTAATACATAAAACTTATCAGAAAATACATACATACATATTTTATACATATATATTTATAAATAACTTTCACTATCCTCTAAAACAGGTACTTTAAAATCCTCTGAACAGCAATACAAAATTTATAAGTCAATGGATTTCAAACCAAAGCAAAGTGTATTTGAAATTAACATTTAAATGACATTACAATTAAAAAGTAAACATTACCTAGGGAAAGTTTTACTTGGTGTATCTTTGAACATTTTAACTTCTTATACTGCTTAGTAATTAGAGCTACTAACAGAGCATAATTTACATAAGTTACAAATGCTTAGGTATTAAAACTAAGATTTCCATTACATGGAAATTCCATTAAAAAGTTAATTGTTTCACATCCAAGATACTGCTTTAAGCCTTGGTACACAGCAAAGCAATATAACCTGAATCAATACAGTATTAAAATGTCATGTTTGTCTTAAAATATATCAGCAACGGGGTAATAAATGCTATGAAAATACCTCAGGATATAAAATTAAGAAAAGGACAAAGATTCAGTGGCATCAGCATGCTGAAACACTGCCTTAATGTTCTGGCTGTCAGAAATAAAGCAGGTGGACCAAAAATAATCCTTGTGCACTGAACTATTCCCAATCACATACAAAATGTATTTATCATTGTATCAATCATTCCTCTCATGCACTCCTTAAATCAATTTTAAAAAGAGTTTTGTGCCCACAAGCTCCTGGAAGAGATAAATGAAGCAAACAAGATAAATTTCTGAAAATAGAAAGTAGATACTTACTACAAACCTACTATTCACTTTTTCTAGAATTCTTTTTTCATTTAGAGCCATTGATTCTCCTTTCCTCTTCTTTATTCTCTTTTTTTCTAGCTTTTTGCAAGCATACATTTTTCCTGTTGCCCGTACTTGACAGGCACACACCTACAAAAAGAAGGATAGTGTGTCAGAGATGCTTGAGGCTTTTAGATTTTTTATTTTAAAGAAAATTAAATTTAACTTTCTTTTTAAACTCTTTAATGCTGTCAGAAAATTATGGTCTGTAAATATCAGAGCCTTTACTCATGAAACTTTAAAGGTTCACAAAAACTGTAACAGAAGTAGAAAAAGTGATTATACAGAGGCAAGTACATTTTTTTGGGGGTTGAATAGTTTAGCAAAACTGTGGATCCTGTGCTAGTGAAACAAGTGACTACAGTAACAGTGCTAAGTGTCCTAGGATGTGTCAAGGACAAATATTCACATCACAATAAACCATGTACAGAGGCAGTTCAATAAACTATAAACAGAATTATTAAAATCTATAGATTTTAAATTAGGTTCATGAATATTCTACATAATTAGCAAATTGCAACTAAATTCTCATTTCCAAATGAAATTTCTAAATAGAAGTCACTGTTGTCAGTCACTACAAGTTTTCTGCAGCTTTCTGCATGAACTACAATGCTTTAACACATTAAAACAGTTTGCATAGACAACAGCTTGCCACGTGATGTGTCAAATGTAGATTGATAGAGACAAGAGTTAAACAGACTCCCCTTTTTCTTTGATTCCTTAATCAAGTGCCTTGCAGAAAGATACTTCTGTACTCACCTCTCCAAATCCACCTTTGCCTAGTACTCGGTAATGCCTAAACGTGTGTTTGGTTACTGGCTGCCTGATTAACAGAAACAATCAATTACTGCAACAGGAATTACAAACGTTAGCAATCCCTCCCCACCCCGAGGTCTGTCTTCATTTTCTCCTTTGTGTTCTGACATATTTCTGAACAGATGCTGCCTTAACCTCATGTAGAAGTACTATAATGAGCTGAATTTCAAACGGAAGGGGTGCTCTGCTAAGAAACGTGGGCTCCCTCATCTGGTCACTGTTGCGGTGTGTTGCAATGTCCTGTTTTAAACTTCCGGGTCCCTTCCCAGGTGTGCCTATACCTCTCTCCCTGCCCCCTCGCCCCCTTGCTGAGTGAGTCCTGTCAATCAGGCTTAAGATTCCAGCAAGGCGTCAGTGTGGTTAGTCAAATTCAAAAGATGCCCCTATGCCCAGAGGTCATTGGCCTGTCTGTCATCCTCCCTTGAGACCCTGCCCCTTTCACCTGGTTGGTAGCTCACCTGTCCCCTCCCCTTCCCCTGTCCCGGAGCTTAAAAGGTTAATCAGACCATGCGGCCTGATTCTGGTTGGAGCAGTTGCCCCGGTTCAGACCTCTGTACCCGTGGAATAAACATCTGGATATAACTCTCCACCAGAATCCTCTCCTTTCTTCTCTTCACCATCGCCAGAAGCTCTCTCTCCTGAGGTAAACGGAGTTCCTGACAAGCCTGGACTTGCACCAGTGCCCCGCTGCAATCTCCAGCAGCCAAGGTATCTCTGGGGTAAAGCACCACAGAAGCCGCCTTTGGCTCAGCAGCAAGGGTCACACTGACCCAGGCACAATCTAACTGGTAATATTGGGATTCATATTCCAATAGGTCACCAGGCACTGCCAAGAGCAGGAAGGGAAGCTGCCCAGGTCGGCCCTTTGCTGCCTCAGTCAGAGCCTGCCGTGCTCCCAGCACAGGCCATTGGCACCTCCTGCCGCCTCCTTATTGGCTCGCTGACACGCAGACTGTATTTCAGTGCGGTCATGCTGACAATGTGGCATTTCAAAGGTAAACCATCGCTGATTTCCCTTTGCTTTTTACTAAAGAAAGAGTTGTGGTATGCAAGAGCAGTTCAATTTGTTAGGGTATTGATGCAGAGGAGGAGGAACAGATAACTGGAGGCAGGAGAGCTGTTGATCCCTCTATGCTAAAACTCTCCTGGATGTGTCAGAGCAGGGCTACCACAAGGGACTGGCTTTTCCTGCCCTTGCTTTAAATGAGCACTCACTGTTACTGCAGCTTTGCTCTTAGGACAACAGTGGAGGTTCATTTACTAGAAAATTTGAGTGACTTCCCTAGTTCTCTTGGTGGTTTTGCAAACAATTCAGTAAAATAAAGACATTAGATAATTGGAATTTACAACAAAATCAGTGCTTAAGCACCATAATGTTTGAATGTGTGATCACAGGGGGCTGAATTTGAGTCAATTTGTAACAATTTCAGCCTTCTGAAAGAGTCTGGACACTCACCTAGTATTGATTTGAATGTACTACATTCTGATACATATATAATATGTAAATCTTGCTATCTTGTAATTACTAGATCTGAATCTGTACCACCCTAAAAAACCTAGTACCAATCCAATTACCCAATGGGTTATAATACTAGATTAATCTGTTTATTAACCACTCATTAGACCAATTTTGAAACTAAAGGATGAGAGTATTCCCAAGAATGATTGGTATTCCACTGCACACTTGACAGCAAAATATTTCTGAATTTGAATTTACCCTTAATACCACTTAAAGACTTAAGATTTATCACTTAAAGGTTACAGACACAGTTCCATTGGAGTATTGGTTCTCCTGCTATCCATCAACATCATCCTTTACATCTTGTCTTTCAGATCATAATTTCTTAGACAGGCAGTCTCATTTAGCATTCAGCTCTATAGCATTTCCAGCATAAAAATCAAAATTTGCCACAAAGCAAAGGTAAATTATAATGCAAACATTATAAATAAACTTACTTTTCCAGCCATTTCCACTGTAAGAAACGGGAAAAATACACACTCTCCTGGTAAGCTTCAAAAGGTCTTTTGCTTAGGTATTCATGGACAATTCTAGCAGGAAAATAAACAGAAAAATAAAATCCATCTTATTCTGAAAAAGGCTGCTGAAGCAAGAGGTGCTATCTATCTATAGACATATATTTAAACATATCAATGAAGCTGTAGGCAGAAAAACATCACCACTGTGCTCTACAATGGTTTTGACCTAAATGTCTCACAAAGTGAGACAGAAAACTGTAACAGAAAATTGTTCCTGTCAAAACACTTGTGAAGGCCAAACTGCTGCTACTTATAGAACTAGACACTTTGACCTCTGCATTTTCATTGTCTTCAAACCCTCTTAAACATCAGCTTCTCAGCAGCTTTTTATGCATGTATCACCCTGCAAATATGAACTCTGAAAGTATCTACAAGGCTTCATGCATTCTTTGGAGACTGGTAAACACATTTTTTTTTCTAGGATTTGAAATTGAAGTTCTAAAAGCCATATCCAAACCTTGAACACCAAGTACCTTAAAAGAACCACACCAAGATGGAGGTGGGGAGGGAAAGAAGTCATTCAAACTGTAGTCAGGTCTTTATTGGCCAGGGGAAAGGGGATGATCCACATGAGACACTCCATTTGAGACATGTTTTATGAGCTGTTCTCACACAGCCCTTTCAATCTTATAATCTCAGCTTGTTACAAAGCATGCTTATTTCTGTTGCCAGGGAGATGACCCAAGCAGTGACAAAACCTGCAGTCATCCTTCAGACATGATCAAGCATGCCTTGAAGAACCAGAAATATTAGAAACATAAAGGCTTTAGAAAGACATGTAACACTCATAAACATGTACCATCCCTCCAAGACAAGCCTCCCCTGCTACTACTGTGTGAAATGTCACTCCATGAATGCAGAACAAAACCAAGCTGTATTGTTTTGGGTTAACTATTACAAGTGATCCTCTGATCAGCCATCTTAATGGCACATAAGTGTTGGCCTCAGTTAAACCTGTTTTCAAGAACCTTAAATGTCTAAAGTTGTTCAGAAACCTTTCAAGCTTCAACTTATCATTTCATATTTTTCTGAGTACCTCCATAATGGAAGAGAGTCTCTCAAAAAGTAAGAATACAGTAAAGAGAAATATCATTTATTTCTTGGTGTCAGACAACAGTGTGATTTTATGCAAAAGCAGCATTAAAGAAAAAGCTCTGCAAAAGTCAAACATCAAAATCACATCTGAAGGAAACCCAATCCTCTAATAAATCTGTTCCAAGTTTTTTACTTTACTTACTCATTTTAGGGACTCAGTACTTCTGGGTATAACAACTTCATATTTCACTTTCCTTAGAAACACATAAATTTCTCTTGTAATTCCCAAACTTAGCACTAGGCATTTTTAACTTACCTAGTACAGTCCATGAAAAGATCCTTAGAAGGGTTCTTTTCCAGTCTTGCTTTACATTCATTTACTGTTTCCTGAGGTATTTCTGGCAAGTGTGCTGCAGACTTAACATAATAAAAAAGAAAGGAAAGCAACAATGAAAGCACGTAAATCAATACAAAAACTAAAAGTTTTGTATTCAAAGATAAATTAAATTTTTTAATACAGTTAAAGGAATGGAACAGTTTGACTAAAGAGAAAATCAAGAAAGTCGTATTTGAGCAAAATTTTTATTTCTTTCCTGTTACAGAACAATGCACTGAAAGTTATTTCAGTTATTTACTATTTCAGTATCTGGGGGAATAAACTTGGCAATAAGTCAAATTTCTTTTTCTTTCCATAAGTCTACCACCAAAAAAGCAAGTCATCTCTTTGGCTTGGCAGGATGGAAAGGAGAAAGAAACACAAACACAGACTGGGAAACTATTTCAAACCAGATCAAAGAAATCTGGAGTTTTTTGAAAAATGTATGTGAATTACGTTAGTCCCAAAGAAATTCTCAAAAATATGTACAAATTAAGATTCCATCTGCTTATGAGGCATCTTCAAGGCCTTTTGTATAAGATGACCAAAGCAAGAGAAGCAGAAGGAACATCTCTTCATAAAAAGCAAATATCGAATTATATACCCACAGAAAAGCTTCCACTGGATACCAAAGAAAAGACATTTGATAAATTAAAAAATCAGCTACTAATGATTACCATGGAAAACAAAGTAACAGAATGCTTCAGAAGAAAACAGCATTTCACTTTGTGAAAACCTGCAGCAATTCTGAAAATTTACAGCAAACAACCAAGGCCACACAGGAGTCTAAAAGACTTCAGATGACAATACACCGAGTTAAGTTGTTTTTAAATTTTCTGTAGGTGTTAAATGGAGAATAAATTGTAATTGTAGTAGTTATTTAAAAGCAGAGATCAGTCAAGGTTTCTACTCCAGTTGATTGAGCAGAATTTTAGAAGGCAGCACACCTCTCAGAAAGACAAAAATGGGATCAATGAAATTTGAAAGTCAATTTACTAAACACAATGCAACCACTTATATCTCTCTATTTATCTGACACTTGCAAAGCACTTGAGGACATTTTTGCAAAATATTTACCCCGTTAGTGAAGTATGTCTCTAAAACTTTGAGGCCACAGTCTATGCGCTTTTCATCTGAAGATACCTCATATTCTGCCTAGGGAAATGGAATTGAAAATTTTATTATGTTTACAGTCACTTGGCATCTTTTACATGATGATAGGTAAATTTTATCATGAATAACACAATACTCCTCATATAAAAGCAACAGAAGGCTATAAGGTGAAACACATATGAAGAACAGTCCTAAGGAAAAAAACAAAGCATATGGAATTTAATCTTTGGAAAACATACAAAGTCTAACAATTAATCTAAACGCAATTACAGAAACTGCATCCTAGAGGTTAAACTAGATCAACTACAATTAAATAGTATTTATGTAGTGTTGTAGGACAGAATGACTCAGATGGAAAATAATCAGGAGTACAATAATCAGCTTTTTCTTCACTGTACGTTTTTCCCTTTGTGTGTTATTCTTTGCTTCAGTTTTGGGTAAAACCAGGATAAAACTACTTTCTACAAGCTTATAAATGAGATCTAAACCAAACCCTACATCATTCTTTGAAAAATTAAATTGATTAGATACAAATCTTGAAAGTTTTTTAGCTTAGTAACATCTGGTACTGAGATGAAGAAAAAGAGAATTGTGTAACACGGTGCTTTTTGCAGATAAACAATTGGCAGCTGAACAGAGCTCCAGAAGTGGCTACTTATGGAAAAAATCCACAACCAACACATCACCACACAGATACTACCACTGAAAAACTCCAAGGACTACTTACTATTAATAATTTTATGGAATAAAAGCAGACATCAGAAGTTACAAGATTTCAAGAGAACCCCAAATCTGGGGAAAGATTAATTAGAAAAGAGCAATCTTAAACAGCAAGATGTATTAGGTTTGTTAGCTGGGCCAACTCAATCAAAGCTTATTTCATATTTCAGGATGTAAATGCTGAATGTAAATGCACCTAGGAACAAAGAATACAAGGCAGACTTCCAGGATGGAGAACTGTATCAAACAAAACAACAGTGGGGCTTATTGAGACAACAATCATTAGAAACATCATTGGAAATTACAAGTAATTGATGTAATCAGAAGTTATTTACCTTTATAAAGAAAACTAGAACACTAAAAAATGACAGTCCAAGAACAAAACACACACAATACTGGAAATAATGGAACTCCTGATTTCCAGTTCTGCCATTAATGACAACTAATCAACACTGACTCAAGTCTTCAACATCTTTTTCTACTTCACCCACTTCAGCACACTACCCAAATCCACCAATCCAAATGCAAGCCATAATTTCTGCTGTTCAATTCCACAACAAAAAGTGGAAAGGAAATGGTAAGGAATTCATCTGCAACCTGAGCAAGTCAGAAAAGTTTATCAACCTAAAGTTCAGCAGTGTGCTTAGCATCTTTAACACTAATTTAATACAATTAATTAGGCATACTGTTTTAAGTGGATAGTGTAATTTAAAAGGAAGTTTAAGAGGTGGCCTTTCCAAATATTTCTGTTACTTACAGGGAAGTTTGAACTGTCACTGATTCCTTTTCATATGTGAGTAACCCTGTCCCTAGCTGGTGAAATGAGTCACTAGATTGGATAACTCACTCCTCACTTTAAGTTCTGTCCCTTACATTCAATGATTTCACAAGTCTTCTTTCTGTAAAGCCAAGCTGACTCCAGACTTTTAGGTCACGCCTTCCCAAGAACTGGACCTTACCAGACTCAGTACAGGCAGACAACACAGCATTGTTGATTTTGGACTCCAGAAATTATCACATTGCTGAAATCACATTGCTTCATGTAAAAGAGTCAGGAAACTCCATTAACTATGATGCGAGGTTTTTAAGGCTATGATATTTCATTTTGGGAATTTCTTTTTCCCCAAAAAAGTAAGCCTAGAATTTTTTTAACATCTCAAAAAGCAAAGCTTGGCAAAAGCCCAGGTAAAAAGCACACAGCCTCAGCTTTTGCTTCCTGTATTGCCTTACAAAGAATACCAACGAAAGAAACCCCTCAACCCCTAAAAGATCAAATCTTGCTGAAATCTGGTGCTGAAGTCCACAAAAGGGAATCAGGCTGACTCAGGAACCATCTATAAGAGATAGCAGGTATTTTATCTCACATCCTTGATCAAGATAGGATGCTAGTTTCAGATCACAAGTCATCAAAGGCTATCTTGTTTCAATGATTCCCAAGAATAATTCTTCCCCCTTTTCAAATGCAAGTTAAACATTTTTTTTCAAATGCAAGTTAAACAACAAATACAAAAAAGTAAATTGTGAAACCATCCCTTACATCAGATTATCTGAGCTATGCCAGTCTTCGTTCATTCACAGAAGTGTTGCAATCCACAAAACATTATAGGTTGCATATTTCAAAACAGTACAGATTTTTCAGTTAGTTACTTCTTAGAGACAGTTTTACCTGAAAATTACATCTCTAGAGCAAGGACACACCTGCCTTACAGTCATGCCTAAGATTCATTCTCTTTTGTGCTGCCAAAGATTTTGCTACTCCTTATCTAAGATATAAGGATTAAAATGTGTGCAGAAGTTGTAACCATTAGGGGTAAATCCACAGTTGCCAGTGCATGGCACTCATTAAGGGCTCTGGTTTATATTTATATTCACTTCAGGAATGAAAGCTCCACTGTTCTGGATTTCCATTCAATCCATTCAGTCTCCAACTGTCAATGTAGTCTCTGCAATCTGGCGCTCAAACAGCTCCTGGGAGTCACAAAAGTGAAACACACCTGGGGAATAAGCCCAATTGCACACAGGTTCTTTGACAAATATAAACAATTCCACCTATTTGACACTTAAACTCTTTTTTAGCTGATCTAGTGCCTCAGTTTTTACTACCAAAGGGGAAGGAAGACACAGTGAAATAGGAGGCACAGCAATAATCCCATGGACATTTCTTACACCCTGCCTCTTCCAGAGCCATCTCACATTCCAGTATTGTAGTTTGGGACGCATGCAAGCAGCAGCATTACCCTACTTCTGTCTTCTTTGGTCATTTGTTCTCTGCATGTAAGAACAAAAATGGCTGGACTGAGAAAACCTGTTCTTTTGTCAGCAATCTCAGTTTGAGACTGTATCTTATTGCTCTTGGATTAACTGTGAGGGACAAAGAATCAAAAGCTCTGAGCTGTTCTTCTCTTAAGGGCTGTTTTGTGCCTGCCTAATCTCCTCACTACTTTCCCCCTCCCAAGGAGGGTTTTGGGCTGAGGATTTTTTGCAAAATATAGCTGTGGGCAAACTTCCTTCCTCCCTTGTTCTTCAGCATTAGGTATCAAGATGTAAATATATCAAGATCTTTTCCCTTAGTCTCAAAAGAATTGTTTTTTCTCCTTCCTTAGATGGTTCTCTAAATTTTCATCTCCATTATATGATTTTTAATTAGCACATGCTATGTAGCCTAGGGCTTCCATGCAAGTTGCAACATTTTTAAGTCTATGTTAATAACATTTTGAAGGCTGAGTATAGCAAGTAATATTCATAATGCAGATACCCTTTCAGCACGTCTTCCTAAAATTGCTTCTCTCTTTCCCATCATGCCCTTTTCTGTAGCTGGGGCCATATCAAGATGGCAGAGACTCCACAGTAAACACCAAACATTTTCCTTTAGTAACAGAGATGGTTTTTTGACATCCATCAGAAGTTACAGCTTTACAGTCAGCAAAGACTATGTTTTCAAGTATACAGCATAAGGAAACAGAGGTGTATAGAGAAAATGAACAAAATGGTTGTGTCTTAAAGAGGCAGGCAGCTAAACCCCCCACAGGTGCCCACTCACTTCCCCCCACTCATAACCAGAAAGGCAGAAGTGAGAAATCTTGCAGCTTGAAATAAAGACAGTTTGATCAAGCAAAGCTGCAGGTACAAGCAAAGCAAAGTAAGAAATTCATTTATTTCTTCCCTTTGGCCATTCCCAGGAAGGCAGGGCTTCATTCCCACGTATAACAGCTAGCTGGCAAATTGTACCTTCCCCCAGCTTTTATTGCTGAGCCCAGCACCACACGCTATGGGATATGCTTTGGGCTCAGCTACCCTGGCAGTGGCCACCCTCAACTCCTTGCACAGCAGCCTCCTCTCTTATAGGGCAGCATCAGGAACACAAAGGCTTTGACACTGTGGAACCCCTGTTCAGCAAGAACTAAAACATCCTTGTTCCCAACATTATCTTGGTCTAAAATCCAAAATAGAGCACTAAATGAGATACAGTGAAGAAAATGAACTCTATCTCAGCAAAACCAGCACAAAAATCCAATATTTACATACAAGAATATATAAGACTCTGCCTACTGATAGCCATCATACATTTCTCACTACTTACCACTGCATCCAGAAATTCAATGCATCTTTTCAAATCTGGTCTAGAATCACAGAACTGTCTGAAGAGAAGTCTTCCTATTGGCTGCTTGTCACAAAGCTGGTTATAGTCTCTTTCTAGGAAAAAAATATAAATCTCTTTATTTATTTTTATTTTTGTAGTAGAATAGTCATTACTCCCATTTGAGGTCAGAAAAACATCACTCAAACATGAAGATTTTACATTAACATGTTTATCAAAGGTACCATAAATATGCAATTATTCCAAAGAATAGTGAAACACTCTTCAGTCACATCTGCATTCTACTGAATACCCCATTTACTAAAAGCACACTGAATTATATGCTTGAGGTGCATTTAGATTAGGGTGCAAAAAGCAACCATAATGTGAAACAGCAACACCAAAGCAAACAAGATTGTTTGCAAAGAGGGAATACAAGATTATAACAAGGGTTAAAAAAACTATTACAAGGCATTAAGGAAAAGGGTAAAATATATTACCATCAATTTATAATGTGATTCCCTTTTCTAATTCAAGGTTTTGAAAATCTATTCTTTAGGAACATTTTCCTTTAACAAACAAGGAGCTGTGATATACTTTTTATCATCTCATAAATTTTATTTTTTCCTCAGTTCTCCATCATATTACAAGTTTAATAGCTTTTTTTTTTTTTTTTTTGCTATTTAGCATTTAGAAGCAAGCCAGAATCCTTTCCATTAGCAGCACCAAACTCTTATCCTTCTGTCTCACAGAAGAGGGTTTATTTTCCAGGACACTCACCGATGGAGCACCGAATACCCTCACAGTGACTGACAGGGGGCAACTTCAGCATCTCTTTCCATTTTTTACTACGCCCACTCCGTTTGCCTAGAGGAAAATATGAATAATATAAAACACAGTACAGAATCAGGGTAAAATTGAACATACCATTAACAGCATAAAATTAGGTCAGTTCTACACAGAAGTGTCAGACTACTTTTCATGCCTAGAAAGAAATCCATCTAGAAGGATATCCAAACCAATAACAAATGTGATACAGAAGAACTTTAATGCTTTTTTTCATGTTTCATGTAAAGTCTTTTCCAAGACAAATCCTTCACATTTTGTCTGTGTATGTAGAAGATCTCTGCAGAGAAAAGACAAATAGCTAGGTATTTTGAAAATCACAAACAAAACTGAAACATCGAAGATGAAACAAAAAAAACCATTGAGAATTATCTCTCAACCATGGTAAAGAATAGAAGAAAATAAAGTTGAGTAACAAAATACCAAGAACAAAGTTCTTAAACACATTTTTCAATAATGAAGTTGTACATAAATATTGTCTGTTTAAGGGCAGTGATAGTAGTAAGAGTAGATCCCAGTAATAAATGTGAGGGCATAGCTCAAATACACACTATTTACTCTAGACCATACAAGGATACCAGGAAGAACTTAGCTGTTGTAACATTTAGATATTTTCAATGCTTCAGATTTCACAGCACTGGTGTTGAATTAGTATTGATTTTTTAAAACTACCACAATGTTTTTCTCAGTTTCTAAAAAAACAGATCTGTGCTACATTTGCCATGTTACATTAAAAACACATTTGTGTTTCAGCACATTACCCTGGCCAATTTCCTTTACAGAAGATATGCATACTTATCAAAAAAGCAGTGATAGACAGGAACACATACACACTTTCAGATCCAAAACATTTCTGTGGAAGAGGAATTTAGTGCTGCAAAAGACCTTAGAAGATTTTACTAAGCTGTATGATCAGATGCATTTCCACATGACAGAGCAGCAGCAAATCTGCACAGAGGCTTTCTCACTGTACCAAAGCAATACACACTGCTAACCACAATAGGAGAAAAAGGAAGGGAGTTACCCAATGTAACCTGAATAGAAACTAAGCAGCAAAGGGTACCAAACTCTTTCAGAAGTAAATTGTTAGGGTGAAAGGAGCTAAAATCTTCAGAACAACAAAACATGTGGGTTTTTAAAGCCCCTCTTTACTCAAACATACAGCTTCTTGAACCATTCCACCAATGCAGTTAGAACAGTCCCAGCTTGGTGGACCTTGGTTCATACCAAATTCACACCAAATTTTTTTGGTTCATACCAAATTTATCCTTGCTAACAGAAATATTGACATCTTACTGTGCTGCTGCAACAAAACATTCTCAACTCTAGTATCCCTAGAAAGGTAAAAAAATAAAGAATAAATCATCTTTAAATGTTGGCTTATGGACATTCTTTGAACTGACACCTAGTCTCTAAAAAAATGCAAACTTCTTCTGCACTTCATTTTCTAATAATCACTTTGCAGGTCATTTGCCTTCCATAAAGTCTTAAAACACAAAATATGGAATTTACTTCTCATCCTATATTTCAAGCAGTACCAGAACTAATAATGAGGCTGTATTTACCAGCATCATTAAAACAAACTGTGACTATTCCAACAATATATTTTTGAACTTAAAAAGAAGTTGAATATATGCTTGAAGAAAATCAAATCAAAACAAAACATAACCCCCTTCTAACAGAAGTGAACACAAAGAAAATCAAGGAATATTACCAGGTAGCCTATACACATACATTGAATAACAAGGCCTGGGTATAGATTATGTGATCATGAAAACAATGGATAGAAGAGGTTCAGCCATGTCACACTAACCTGCAAGGGGCACAGAGGTTAAACTGCTTCTGTTAGAAACAGCCCAGAAAAACTCAATTGTGCATGACACCACACCATCAGCACTGATCAAGGATGATAAACCTAACCCAAATTCATATCACGCTGCTGTTTGTAAAATGTAAAATGGGATCTATATCAAGGGTACTACTTTCTGAAGCACTGTCAAATTAAAAACCCAACTCATCCAAAAGGAGAGGATGACTAGTGTATTTTACTTCCAGTCCAACACAAAAAGGGCTGCATTTTGCCCAAATATTTGGTCACTTACTTACGATGTGACCATGATGAATTTCATTTTACAAAAAGAGAACACATGCTAGAATGCAACTGAATTCACCATCCTACAGAAGTCTATAAAGGCTACATATAATTTATTAATGATACACAAGAATCAAGTGCTTAGCAGTATCAACTAAATCAATGTGCTCTCACTTCTCTCTGAACTGAATGTTCTTGTATTTGCAGCAAATGCAACTGTACAAGTCTGTAGGTCCCAGTAATGTAAAGAGCCATTTCTGGTAAAAGTTATGGCAGGAGGCCAATTTGTTTGTCACGTTATTCCCTAACTGCAAAATCCTTTTCCATTTCTGAGGCAGTTTAAAAGAAGTATCAAATCAAATTATAACACTTGTGGTTTGAAAGTGTCTTAATATTGATTTCAGAGCTTCTATTCTGAATCTCATTCTAAAACACTTCAGATAAAATTCTTCCAGAAAGACCAGGAGCTCACTTTCCAACAGAAGAGCCAGAAAGCCCTTAGGTTAAGGTGCTTTCTGGTTGACCTCTGTGGCTCAGATGAATTACTGATTTTTGCCTCTTTCAGAAGGAATCATGGCTAAAAGCAATGTCCAGCTTGAAGTGAACTCATCTTGCAGAAAGAGAAGGGTGGGTGCAGCAATACACCATTAGAGTGAGGAGAAACTTCAGTTACATTTTCAGGTACACAAGAACCTTTTGCTTCTCCCCAAATTACTTCTTAGAGTTACAATTTCAACATTTAACTCTTTCCCATTTTTGCTTTTTAAAAAGATACATACTAAATTCAGTTAGATAACTGCACTAGAATATGGTATGGGCAAAACATTTTATTTCTGTTTTTTTTTTTTAACCTCTAGAGAAATATTTGAAAAATGTATGTAAGGCAATGCAGTCGGGTTACTCATCAGTAAAACCACAACTAGTTTCAAAAAATGAAACTGCTGTGGCCACAACCTATGTCAAGAAATAAGAATATGTTTCAAGTCCTCAGATGCACTTCTGAGAGCCACAGAGATCCTCCTTGCAGACCTGACTGCAGACTGACTCCCATTTCAGTGAGCACAATGTTCACTGCACATCATTAAATCAGTTTTCCTTGAGACAATGACTTTGGATTCTCTCATGCAGAATCCTTCTTTACTGGCACTGAGATTGTGGCAGGGAGTTTTTGTGCCCCAGCTCTCCTGCCTGAATCTGAGGCTGAGCAGCACACAGCTCTGTAGCGCTGGGGTGCACGATTGCTACAACTTCATTCTTGCAAAACTGATTCCACAAACCAGATTGTCAGATACCAGCTGAGAAATTCATACTAGACCACACCCAGATAAACTCAGAAAGCTGAGACTGCAACAAGATGACAACCTACAGCAGGCCTTTAGTGTATAAATCAAATCAACTGGTTCAAGGGAAAATGCAAAACAATTGATGCAGGAGCTCTACATCATCTACACGGAGACACATGAAAATAAGCTGGGTACAGACACTGCCTTAAAATATGTCTTTCCCACAGCAAAGGCAGTTCCAGGCAAGTTTCCTAATAGATTTAAAACTCACATGAATTCAAATCTTCTCCTAGTTCCAGACACATTTTTCTTCAAACCGCTCACAATAAGGATTAAAACCTTTCACCAAAAAAAAAAAATCAAACCATTCCTGTTTAACTATGACCTTATGCTATACAGGCATTTATAAACACTACTCATTGAGTAACAAATTTTGCTTTTATGCCTTTATTGGGCAAGATCCACCTTCAAGGCACAAACCAGTGTGGAATTAATACCTCAGCTCCTCAGATCAAACCATAACACTGGAACAGCATCAAGTTCAAACTAGAAGAGCAGCTCACACATACCATCACTTGAGGAAGGCTGTCATGCTTCTGGAGACAGCTCATAAGGCCCTGCTGTGGGGGTTCACAACAACCTTCTCCATTCTGCAGGCCAGATGTATCTTTTCTACAAAATACAACTTGTATCAAGTTGTATTTTGACAAAATACAAGCTTGTATCAACTCAAGCCTGGTCACAGCTTAACAACTACCTTAAGGAGAGTGGCAACGCTTTTTTATGGAGAAAGGGGGTTTTTTGTTGTTGTTTTGTTGTTGTTGTTGGTTTTGTTCCCCCCCCACATATGATAAATGCAATCTGGCCAGTTCTCAGTAAACTTATCAGAATCAACTGGCTGAAAATTCAGGTTTTGGCAGAAACCTGAGCACCTAACTCACCAGCATTACAAAGGCCAAGGTACTTCTGCATGCAAACAGAAGCAAAAAGGCAAGTAGTACAATAAATAAACAAAAGATATCTATAGATTACAGATCTCTATGGCATTTACAAGGTGATAGTCCTCACATTCCTGGATTCAAGTGCATGGAGCTGGGCTCCAGCAAGGTAATACTGGGGTGCTCTGGCCCATCTGACTGCCAAGGCAGTAACCCAGCAGGCAGCCCGAAGCCCAGCTCTCCCGTGAACATTTGTGCCGTTTGTTTACGTGCACAATCATTTATTGTTCCCAAGCTAACGCCACTCGAACAACTGGTTCTTCACACGGGCTCTCCATGCAGCTCCAGCGATCATGTGCACACGTAGGAATGCCAGAGCACACCCTCTGCACTTCACCGATTCGGTGTGGAATGGAAAGCTTGGATCAGCCCGAGTAAATGTAACTGATCTTAACATTTATTAATCGGTTCTTGCAGTGAGACATTGTAACATCTCTGCATACATCCCCAGATGTCTCTAACCAGCCAATGAACAGGGCTTACAAGGGACAAACCACCCAGAACACTGCAATTTTACAGTCAACAAACAAGGAATTTTTTAGCATGATAGTACACTCAGAGTGCAACAGATATTACAGAAATAAAATTCCTTTAAGCTGATTGTGAAACCTCTATTGCTTATTTCAAATTGCCACATTTGAAATAAGC